CAGTCAGACAGACAGTCAGACAGACAGACAGTCAGACAGACAGTCAGACAGTCAGTCAGACAGACAGACAGTCAAACAGTCAGACAGACAGCAGCGGCACTTCCTGCCACAGGAATTCTTTTTCATATCGATTCAACACTTAACTGTTTCCTCAGCCATATGGGCTTTAAAGACGTCCTAAAGTGGTTGTCAGTGGCAGCCCTGCCCTATGCGGAACTAAATCAAACACACACACACACACACACACACACACTCCTAATGACGCCCCTTTTTTGGGGGGGGGGGGGGGGGGGGCGACCATTACAAGGACTCTCAGTATGAAGCTGTTCTGGCAGGACTTCTCTGACCGTTGGCCAAACCAGAGTTCATAACATTAGCTTAATGAATGTGTGCAACATTTTTATTTATTATATTTATTTATTTTTTCAAACTTCTTAAAAGCTTCACTATTATTTTAAACGTGATTACTGCGGGGGTGACCCTGCTCTCTTCTGTCCAAGGTTTATTTATTGTATCCATTCTCTCTCGTTACAAATAGGTTCCAAAGTTGACCAATCACAGCCCTTCTTTCTCCAATTTGTCAGAGAATATTTTCTGGCAGAGTCGACATGTTGCTTCCACAGAATCATCCCGCTTCAACTCGATTTGAGTGTATTTCTCAGGGTTTTTTTATTCTATTTTTTTTCTAATTAATTAATTCAGTTCCGGTCTGTTTTATATACAGTTTATATATATATGTAGATACGTATATATTGTAAAACTTCATTTGTTGTGAACAAACAGGGATCTAATCGTGTGTTTTGGCCCTTTGTCTACATCTAGTGGACAAAGCTGCAAAGCACGTTACTTGTCTCCACCCTCTCTCTTATGATTGGATGACTTGTCTGATGACGTAGAGCGACTTCCTGTTTTGTAACGCACATGTAAGTGTTATCAAACCCGACGTTCTCTTTTAAATCCGCTACATTTACGAGTGGAAGTTTTTCGTCCGGGTTAATATTCTTTAAGTTAATTTTTTTTAAAACGCGTTTTACTTTCTGTGAGACTCTACGTGACGTAGGACCAGGTAATGTAGTCGATGTGTGTTACCTTCGCTCGGTGTCTTTTAAAAAGGCTCTGCATCGAACTGTTGGTCAAACACAGAAGCCGTGTGTTGTAGTTGTTGTTGTAGTTGTTGTTATAGTTGTTGTTGCAGTTGTAGCTGTATTTGTAGTTGTTGTAGTTATAGTTGTTGTTGTTGTTGTTGTAGTTGTTGTTGTAGTAGTTGTTGTTGTTATAGTTGTTGTTGTAGTTGTTGTTATATTTGGTGTAGTAGTTCTTGTTGTTGTTGCTATAACAGAACATACAGTACAGTAAACCGACGGTCCTTGTGTCCACAGGGTCATGACTCACAACTGTATCCACTGGTTTCGTAAGGGACTCAGGCTGCATGACAACCCAGCTCTGGTGTCTGCTCTCAGGGACTGTAAAGATCTGTACCCCGTGTTCGTCCTGGACCCACATCTCTACAACAGTGACCACATGGGCATCAACCGCTGGAGGTTCCTGGTTGGATGTCTTCATGACCTGGACTGCAGCCTGAGGAAACTGAAATCCAGGTAGAAACACTGCACAGAAACGTCCATATTAGATATTGACAACAGCTGTTTCAGACAGTAGATTATTGTGTTTCATAATATTATGTTGATGTAAAATATATCCAGTGGAACTCTACCTTACTGATGAAAAAACAACTCCACTCCACCATGAAACAGTGCTTTATTGGTTTTCTGCTTCAATGTGAAACTTCAGACGTGACAACCGTCACGTGCGTCTCCATCTTATTTCCGCAGACTTTTTGTACTCCGAGGCCACCCAGAGGATGTGTTTCCTGAACTGTTCAAAAAGTGGGACGTGACCAAGTTGACGTACGAGTACGACACGGAGCCCTACAGCCTGAGCCGCGACGGGAAAGTGACAGAACTGGCCGAACGCCACGGAGTGGAAGTGGTTTACAAAATCTCACACACGCTGTACGACATGGACAGGTACGTGTGCACACCTGTGCTGTACTGACCGCTGCACTCACCCCATCCGTGTGGTAAGAGTGATTCACGTGGTGTCTGCAGGGTTATTGAAGAAAACAACGGGAAGGCTCCGCTCACCTACAACCGAATGCAGGCCATATTGAAAAGTCTGGGACCCCCAAAGAAACCAGTTCCTGCCCCGACCCTGGAAGACATGAACGGTGATGAAGAGCCAGAACTCAAATGATTTTAACATGTTATTAATCATTCAAGTCATTCAAACTGATCTGAGTTTATTAGGTTATTAGGTTAGATAATATAAGTTAGTTATAGTTAAGTTAACTTTAACCACAGATGTCAACACAAGCATCAACCTTGAATTCAGTGTCTCTATGGTCACAGAGATAAAGACGCCTTACACAGAAAACCATGAAGAGGAATATGGGATTCCACCACTAGGGGAGCTCTGCGAGGACACTGCAGCACCTGGTGAAGAGAAGTTTCCAGGAGGAGAAGAGGAGGCTCTGAGGAGACTGGATGAACACATGAAACGAACAGTACGTCATCATTCCTTCTCTTGTCACGTGACGTGTCACGTCTCAGAGACGTGTTCTGTCAAACTATGCCACCTGTCTTTGTCTTGTCTTGTTTCAGGCGTGGGTGTGTAAGTTTGTCCTTCTCTTGTCACGTGACGTGTCATGTCTCAGAGACGCGTTCTGTCAAACAACGCCACCTGTCTTTGTCTTGTGTTGTTTCAGGCGTGGGTGTGTAAGTTTGAGAAACCCCAGACGTCACCCAACTCTCTGAGCCCCAGCACCACGGTCCTCAGCCCCTACGTCACCTTTGGCTGCTTGTCCGCACGGACCTTCTGGTGGAGGCTGGCGGGGGGCTACCAGGGGGTCAGTGTCGCTCCTCAGTCACTGCACATGTTTCATTAATTAGACTCCATGACAACCACACATTTCATATAATAATATATATTAGTCCATAATTAACTGAGAACATTTTCAGCCTTCTGTCTACAAGTCAGTTCTCTGGACCTCAGATGTCATCTTCAAATGTTACCAGTAGGGGTCGCATGTAAATCAAATCACATATATGTTCAGCAGCATCATAGAATCAACATTTTATAATCATACAAATGAAAATGAAATAAAAGTTAAAGGCAGTGGTTAAAGAAAATGTTTCCTGATCATAGAGTTCTCTCATTGTTCACGACTTCCTTTTACAGATAACGGCTACTTCCAGAAATAGTTTTGTTATTTTTTTAAGTAACATAATTATTTTGTAATCATTTTAATCATTGTTCCACTTGTTTTCCTGCAGAACAAACACTCCAGTCCTCCAGTTTCCCTTCATGGTCAGTTGCTGTGGAGAGAGTTCTACTACGCTGCCAGTGTGGGGATCCCAAACTTCAACAAGATGGTGGGCAACCCTGTCTGTACCCAGGTGGACTGGGACTCTAACCCTGAACTCCTAGCTGCCTGGAGAGAGGTACTTACTCTGAAATAAAATCAGGTCTTGGCAAAAATAATTTTTAATAAAAAAACCCCTATAAATCATATCAGTCAGACGGTGGATTTTTACCCTACAGTTATGTAGGAAGGTGTTTGTTTTAAGATGTTTAATCTTTTACAAACTTTGCGAGTGTGTTTTTTTTTGCTGTGTTTTTTCCTTCAGGCTCGAACTGGTTTCCCTTTTATTGATGCCATCATGACTCAGCTGAGACAGGAGGGCTGGATCCATCACCTGGCCAGACATGCTGTGGCCTGTTTCCTCACCAGAGGAGACCTGTGGATCAACTGGGAGGAAGGACAAAAGGTGACTTTCTTTTTTTTAATTTTTTTTTTGCAGAAAAATGAGTTCTTGGCAAAAAAAGATTTTTATGTTTCAAACCATATCTGATCAGTTGATCACAACAACTCATTCATTCTCATTAAACTCATTCTGCTGATCTCTGGTTTTCCTACCTGTTCCTACACGTCTTATCACTTACATTTAAAGTAACAGATTTTTTTTTCCCTCCATTCCTTGTTTACGCAGGTGTTCGAGAAGCTTCTGTTGGACGGAGACTGGGCTCTGAATGCTGGGAACTGGCTGTGGCTCTCGGCCAGTGCCTTTTTCCACCAGTTCTTCAGGGTTTACTCTCCTGTGGCCTTTGGCAAAAAGACGGACAAAAATGGAGACTACATCAAGTAGGACGTGTTGACGCGGCTGAGCTGATGCACCACAGAAACACAGAAGGCCTCGCTGACCTGCCTCTCTCTCCACAGGAAGTACCTCCCTCTGCTGAAGAAGTTAATACATCTACGAGCCGTGGAAAGCTCCTTGCAGCGTCCAGCAGGCAGCAGGATGCATTGTGGGTAAGGACTATCCACAGCCTATCGTGAAGCATGAAGAAATCCACAAGAAGAACATCCAGAGGATGAAGCTGGCCTATGCCAAGAGGTCGTCGGACGCCGCCGTGTCGCCCAACAAAAAACAAGGTATGACAGAGAATATCAGGTTGAATTTGTTTATATTTCAGTGTTTACTTTGGAAAAAACAGTTCAACGTTTTCTATCATTTTTGTCTTTTCCTCACAGGTCTGAAACGTAAGGCCTCATCAGTCGCCGACCTGCTGCAGAGCAAAGGCAAGAAAAAGTAACGACACAAACACTGTAGTTCACTCTGCTACAGTCGTAATAACTGTCAACAGTACAGCGTCACCTAAAATGTTTGTTTTCTATTTGAATCCTTATTTTTTCATGTTACAAGGATTGGGCTGTAGTTCATATCTCCCAGGTCAAAGGTCAAATAAATATACAAACTGTCATTAAATGTATGTGAAATACTTTTTTTGTATCACTATGTGCTTTTTGGACTGATGTCCGATGATGTGAGTTTTTTATGTGTTTTTTCAATTAAAAAGTACTCCGAGACTTTTTTGTCTGGTTTGTACCTAAAGGGACAGAGACAAAATGTTTCTGGTCTCAGCTGAAACTTTCAGGTGTATTTTTTTTTTCCCGTCTCCCTTTATTAGGCTGAGTAGGTTTGGGCACAGATATTAGAATCAAACCTTTTCTGTTTTTATTTTCTTAATTTCTGAAGAATTTCGACAAAACCCAGTTATGGTATATATTTACATTCGTCCACTAGAGGCCACTAAAAGTCAGTCACACAACATTTTTCATTCATCTTTTTTATGAACGAGCTCCTAGGGCTGATACCATCTTTGGCCACAGGGTGGAGTGCTGGTTGTGTCTGATCCTCAGTGTTTACTGACGGTCTTTCTCTGTGAGCGTTTTTAAAAACTATTTTTGGGCTGTTGTTAACTTAAAACTTTTAGTTGTTTTTTTTTATCATATTTCTGGGGAAATGTTTATTTTTCTTGTCTAGCATGTTTGTTGTTTTGCTTATTTTGAGAAACAAAAGTAATCAATATATGAACAATGACATTCTTTGAAACAGAACCCAGGTTCTATGTTCTTACTTTATTCATTGAATGTTTTTTTAATCTCTCACTTATTTGCTCGGTTTATTTGTCTTGAGATAAAACGACTTAAATCTTTTTTATCCAGAATTTTATCAACCAATAAAAATAGAGTCTGAGAAAAACCAGCTCTGACCCAGAACAATACACAGCAGGTGATGTTCATGAAGAGCAGAGTTAGCTGTTAGTGTTAGCTGTGCTGCTACACGTGAAGACATGGAGGCTTTATGTGTGTGTGTGTGTGTGTGTGGTGGGGGGGGCACAGCTGTTCTTGGAGGCCAGCTCGTCTCCTGTTTCTTCTTCCTTGGACTTGTCCCTGGTGTGAATATCCAGAAGATGATGTCACGGCCTCAGCCGCGGAGCAGACGGCCGTACAAAGACGGGCTCAGTTTCCACAGAGACTTGATGTCAAACATCAACATAATCCACTGCCCCCCCGACCCCCCCTGTGTGTATAGGTATGGGTGGCTTTAAAGGGGGGGTTACTCTTGTCCCTCAGCCGTTCTCAGTTGAACCACAGACCGTCTGTACTGACACAAGGACACTGTTTTATTTTACCTTAACGCCCCCCACCTGCTCAGGCAGGTATTACAATCCTGGGTCCATTCGATGTTAAATTCCCGTGATCGACAGAACAATTATAAATGATTGCTGTGACCCCGTCTGTCCACCGGCTCTGACCCACGTCTACGTCAGTTTGTCAACACCTCAGCGTTCACACCGTCCTGGATCTGGTTTCTATAATATCCCATTCAGTCCAGAACAGCGTGTTCCCGTGCAGCTGGTGCTGAATGAAGCTTTAATCGTCGTGATTTATACGAGCGCCTGCTTCACGACCAGCAACGTCTGAAAGTTGATTTTCACTTTTATAAATTTTAAAACCACTAAATATTTTAGAACTGCTGCATGTTCGCCTCAGAGGAAAAAAAGATGAAGTCACCAAAAGTTACAGAAGATTTACCGTCTACAGTAGAAAGACTCTAACGTTGAACTTGATTCTGTGGAAAACTGTAGGACTTAGCACCAACTACAGGCCAGTGGAGGGGATTACAATGACCATGGTGATCCTGATCTGAACCAGAACCTGTGGTAATGAACTTCAGTCTCATTAGAACTAGTCCTTGACACAGTTAAGAACTGGAGCTGGTACCAACACTGTTGTTGATGGTACCAGACCAGGAACCAGCGTCAGTACAAACACAAAAAATTAAACTTTAGATTTTGCCTGATTACATTTGCAGCAGCAGCAGCAGCAGCTGATGTGACAGAGGTGAGACAGGAGGTGAGCTTGTCTCTGTGGACGTTAACTTCAGACGTGTTAGTCACTTCACGGTTTATACAGCGGCTAAACATAGCCGAGCATGAGGCAACGAGAACGCAATGATAAAATCATTCCCCCACAGACTGCATTTGAATTCAGGTTTGGTGAGGGTTTGTTCACACACTGACGTGGTCGTTTATTAATAGGCCGGGGCAGGATATTATGACGAGCGGGATCGGAACACAACAAGACCAAAACAAGACGGGAAACCGTTGGCCGTCCGATTGGATGTCATAAAAGTACCAGGAAATAAAGATATTCCTTCGATCCCTCTGAGGTTCAGACCTCGTCCCAGTCTTTACAGCCGCATCACTTTACATTTCTCACATAGTTTCATATCTTTGTTTTGGGATTTTGGAAAACCCTGAGCTGCAGCCAGGAGTTTTCCCATATTAGAAAGGATTCCCAGTATCACTGAGTGTCTGCCAGTCGTGTCAGCCGTGGTGGTGGTGGTGGTGTTTCCACATCACTGTGGGCTTTGATCTGTCCCCACACACCCATCTGGAATATCTGAGACCACGCTGAGGCAACCGTGATATCCTGCTGCCTTACAGGGAACTGGCAGCCAATCACAGCTCCGGGCCGACCTGCTCTGTCACCGTGTTGTTGACGGTGTGTTGGACGTTAATATCTGTCTGTGAGAATATTCATGTTTCTGGTATCAGTGGAAGCTGAAGTGAAATTCCTGGTTTGATCGCGGCTGTCAGGTCCAGACGACGTATCGCTGAGCTGACAGGAAACATGGAACGTTTGGGAATTACAGGCCGTGATGAATGGATGGAGGCAGAGTTGAACAGATGTCAGAGGAGCAGGTTTTTATTATGACAGGCTGCGGTGATGACACCAGGGCTAATGGACGTCCACATATTTAACCTTGGTTTGGTTTGGAGTGTTCACTCAGTCCAGTCCATGGAACTGGAACTCCAGATGAAGTAGATGCACAAGGAGAAACAGCTGACCACCCGTGTGTGTGTGTGTGTGTGTGTGTGTGCCAGCATTCCTGTGTACAGATAAGAGCCCACTGCTCTTTGGCAGTCAGTGGGCTCTGCCCATATAAGGCTGTTCTATTCCTATTACTGTTCCTCTGGGGATGAACAATGAACTGCAATTGTCATCAGAACAATACGTCCTGAAGAGACAGTGAAGAGCCTCGGTTTCTATGAACCACAAGAGAGACAGTGAAGGAAGAGCCTCGGTTTCTATGAACCACAAAATCACAGATCAGACCTAATAATAAAAATAATAATTTTTTTTAAAAATGCTATAAAATGTCACCTGATTTTCTCAATTTTATCATGTTGTCATATGAGTAAAAAAAATGGTAAACAATACAATTATTGGATTACATTTTTTTTATTATTAGATATAAAACAGCCATAGTGGTGTGTGGACTGTAGACTGTCAACAGTCTGTAGACTGTCAACTGTCTGTAGACTGTCAACAGTCTGAGGAGGGACCAGTGTGATACTAGCTGATGAATAAACCTTGATGTTTTGTTTCTTATTCCTTTTCTCCAACATCTGGAATGACCTCCTGTAAAGTCCTGAAATGACGTACGTTCGTTTGCTGGTTTCATCTTACCGTCCTATTACAATGGTCCAAAGTTTTGGAAAGTCTGATGAGCTCCGGTGCCTATTTGCAGGCCAACTATAAATAGTGCGAAGGCTTACGCCTGCTCCTGTTTGATTGGAAATCTCCGTGGCTGAAGTCAGTGCTGCAGGGTTTCTGTCCAGGAGGGAACGCCGAGAGAAGGTTTCCTTCTGACTTTGTTATATTTCAGTTTCCTTTTACATTTATTGACTTTTCTCACCTTTTTATTTTGTACCACTTTCAGAGAGCCCATAGAAGAGAAACATTTTTTTTCTTTGGGAATCCTGGATGGACAATGGGTTCACGGAGGATCACAACTCGCTCTGCCTCATGGAACGGCAGGATGGACAACGGACACAGCAACGGGAACGGCCGCCCCGCCGCCTGCAGCTACATCTCTAATGTCAGGCCAGAGACCAGGTAGAGTTCAACCACTGACTTTGACCAGTTTGAATTCTAACACAGCACTTCTCTGAACCTGGGGTGAAAATGACTGGTCTGTTGTGTTGTTGTCTGTTGCCATGGTCACCACAGTTTAAATAAACTGCCAATTACAGACATCGTGTCAGTCATCTCAGCACCGTGGGCCCATTCTAAACCAAATGATACGTTAACAACATGGAAACATGTGTTTATTTCTAAACTGTTTACGATGATTTTGTTTTTTAAGCGTAATCAATACATTTAATTATTTTGGGCAGTGACATTTATATTTCCTCAAACAGTGAGCTGACCCTTCAGTGAAGGGATGTCAGCACCAGTCATGGATCAGCTGATCTGAATGTGCTGTGACCACTGCAGTTACAGCTGGTTCATCCACACGACATCTTCATTCTTTATTGTGATCCACTGTGATGTGTGTGTGTGACGCGTCGTCCGGACTTCTGCACGCTACACTGACCAGCAGCTGAAACTATTCTATTTTTAGTAATGCAATCAATTTGGTTGAATAATTTCATCTGAACTGACGGGAACTTCGATGGACGTCACTGCGAGACTAATTATAGAAATTTAAATTTTTCTTTTACTATAAAAAATGTTTTTTTCTAACTTGAACTTTTTGATGATGGTTTTATAAATTCCACTTTAAAATGATTTCCAGAACATTGTGGTTGTCTCTGCCGTCCTTGTACAGGAGCACGTTCTGCAGCGTCATGGCTCAGTTGACTGAAGAAACGCAGCCGTCTTTTGAAACAACCCTGAAGTCGAGAGCCGTGTCAGAGAACTGCAACGTGAAGTTCTCGTGCGTGGTCACAGGTAAAACGACCGACTCTGTCAAAGTCACTGATCTGAACATTTACATACACAGAAAAAATAAAGATGACCAACTGTCCACAGGGACAGGGATAGTTATTAACCACAGATTGTAAATGGAAAATAATGCGTTAAGAAATGCAATTTAAAAATACCTGCCGGGGGTTTTGCACCGGCAACCACTTGCAGAACTTTATCATTTATATTTTTAAACAAAAGGTTCATGTGTTCATATAAATTTAATGACTTTACGTTTTCTTAAATCCGTCTATAATTAACTTAAATTAAATTAAAAACATAAACGCTCCTGAAAAGTTTTCTTAAATCCATCTATAATTAACAAATTAAAAACATAAACGCTCCTGAAAATGTTTATGAATCAACATTTAGTCCAGAAATATTCTCCTTTTTCTCTCTGTTTTCATCAGGACACCCCGTCCCTCAAGTCACCTGGTACAAGGACGATGTCCAGATGGACAGATACTGTGGACTTCCTAAATATGAAATATTCCGGAACGGGCAGAGCCACACCCTGCACATCTACAAGTATGTCTGACCTCGACGCCCCAGGTTGGCTCTGCTGAGGTCACTGGGGTCAACTGTGTTTCTGTTGTTTTGTAGTTGCACCGTGGAAGACGCAGCCATCTACCAGGCCTCAGCCATCAACACCAAAGGTATCGTGTCCTGCTCCGGTGTTCTGGAGGTGGGGGAAATGAACGAGTTCAAGATCCATCAACGTTACTTTGCCAAGCTGAAACAGAAGGCCCAGCAGAGATGTAAAGAAGTCGAAGGCAAAGAAAACCAGGAGCTGCTGCGAACCATCAGTCCAGACCGGACACAGAGGAAACGCCGCTCTACGATGGAGGGTCTTCTCAGCAGCCCGGGGTCACAGGAGGAGGTCAGGGAGGAGAGCCTTCGATCTTTGGCTGTGAAGAGTGAGAGCGACGTCAGGTTACAGCCGGCCGCCACCGAGGGCACTGATGAGCAGAAACCTGTCATGAACGGACAAGACATGAATGAAAGTGGAAACAAGGGAGGGTCGTTCATTCATGACGCCGCTCAGAAAATGTTCTCTTCACTCCAACCTAAAATTCCCTTCGTCAAGAAGAAGATTAAGATTTCTAACAAAGCCATGTTTTCCAAACCAGAACCACAGAATGAGAAGACGACTGAGGAAAAACAGCCCAAAGATGGACCTCCTGCTGCACGGTCCTACAAACATCGTGTTAAAACGACTGAGACGTCAGACGTCAAGATGGAAGTAGAGCAGATTCCTGGTCCACGGACTGTGGGAACACGTGTGAGAACACAACAGAAGACGGCGGCATCTGACGTCACTGTACCAACACCTGTGGAGAGGCGTCCGAAGGATGAACGTGCACGTGTTGTGTCTCCAAAAACTGCTGCTGCTGCTGCCTCTAAACCTCAGGGTGTGTCAGGAGCTAAAGAAGAACCGGCTAAAAGGCTCGAAGCTAAGGTTGGACCTAAAGGACCAGGAGAACACTGGACAAAGAAACAACATTCTGTCTCCGACCTTAACGCCCCGTCATCACGGCCACCGAGACACACTCTATCAAAACAGAAAAGTTTGAGAGAGGATGTTACGGACAAAGACGTAAAGAGTGCAGTCATGGATGTTGAAGTGAAGACAGAAACCTCCGCTGGTGGATCGTTACAGAGCAGGAACCACAGGTCAGAGGACGGACACAGCGAAGGTGAGACTTCATCTGAGCAGACCAGAGATCAGCTGACGGAGACGCAGCCCGTCCCGTCCAGCGAGGTGAGTGAACACTTTCAGATGAGCTCATGGTGTGTTGTGCTGCCAACACCGGCCTCGTCAGCAACACAAGCAGCCTGCGGCTATTTATAGCAATTTATTTAAGCAGGCTGTGCTGTGTGAGAAAAATGAAATGACGGAGGCCGGGACCCATGAAAAAGACGGTTGATGGATGTTGACGGACGGTTGACGGACGGGTGACGGACGGTTGACGGACGGTTGATGGATTCAACAGAAACTAGTCTGTGTTTCAGAAAACCAGGAAAACACAGGAAACAGGAAACTGATTTGAAGTTGACAGGATGTAGTTGTAGCGTTGTAATCATGAAGCTCCTCCCACAACAACCAAAGGACCAATGAGTTTTTACCTACTACAGTATGATGTATAGTTTGACACCTGACTATAGACTTACAATTCTACCTAGTTGTAACGAGTCAACTTTTCCATTCAAACTATTTTAAAGTCAGTCTAGATTTTCGACTCCAACCAGAACCAACCAGAGGATTAATCCATAATCCAGATTATGTGACTATGAAGTGATTGTTATAATGATGTGACAGCTTTGTTTCCCTCTGTTTGAACTAATTGCTCGACTCATTATCACGTCGTCATTATGCTAATGTTCAGATAATACGTCACATGGTCGTCATTTATTTAACTTTAATCCAAGAGCGTAATTATTGTCAAAGAAGAGACAAGCAGCCGTCGTTTTAAATGATTAGAAATTAAATGAATGTTGTTGACGGAACAGAAGAGAATTAACTTCAAACTGTAACCTTGGATCACGTGTTGAACTGGAGGACTGGTGCTGTCTGTCAGTGACCCCGTCTCCAGCTGCAGGTCTGGACACTGTGACCTCAGACACTGACACACTGCGTTGGTTGCAAGTACCTCTTAACATTTTTGACATTCCATCGTGGTTAGACTCAGATGTAAATTATAAACCGTGAAGAGAGAAAGAAGGAAAACTAAATCTGAATCTGTTTCCTTTGACAAATCCCTCCAAACCGTTTGACAGCTGTCATATTTCTGTCCTCCGACTTAAAATGTTTCATTTTTTCCTGCCATTTGTTGCCAGTTGCCCTGTTGCTGTTTGCTGTTGTTACCCATGTTCTGCATAGTTAGGGATAAAAGACAAAGCTTTTACAACTTCTGTCCTGTCCCTTGGTCACACAGACAAAGACGAATGATGCAGCTGTCGACCTGGACTTTCCCTCCAGCACATCTGAGTCCAACACTCTTCAAACCAAAAAGACTGAACCAGAAACGTGCAGAGACAACACGCAGCGCCCGTCTTCACGCCGTGGCGTTCCACCAGCGATTATCACCGCGACAGAGGACAAAAAAGATGGTTCCTGGAAAACAGATGAAAGTGGCACAGCCTTGTTTACAAACACACAGACGTCAGAGCTTGGAGGTCTTGGAGGTCTTGGAGGTCTTGGAGGTCTTGGAGGTCTTCTGGACACAAACCTGGAATCAGATGTTCCACCACCTGCAGAGAAAAGTCAAAGAGATTCAGTGGAAAGTTCTAATCAAGGCACAAAAATGCAAGTTGATGAGAAGGAAGAGAGTACGTTCCTGTTATCAGGAACGGCTAAAGCTGAGGCTCCCAACCAAGAGGTTGAAATGGAGACAGAAACTGCTGCTGAAGAGGTGGATGATCAAGTCAAGACTACCGTTGGTAAGAACACAGACATGGACGCCGAAGCTTCTTGTAATGAGAAGAACGTGAAGTTGTCTAAAAAGGCTGAAGACGGTCCTTTTAAAACACAGATTCTGGAGGCAAACGTTTCAGACACAACCAAAACCTCACCAGAGCAAACTGGAGATTTGATAGAAATTCCAAAACCTGTTTCAAAAGTCATATCCGTTGCTGAACTTCTAAGATCACAAATAAAAGCACTGGAGCTCACGTTAGCAAAGTCAGCCCCCGCCCCACCGGAGGCGTGTCAGGGGTCGAGAACTGATGACGGGAAGAACGACCTGAAGACGTCAACGCCTGAGAGAACCATCAATGACGAAGCTCCTCCCACTAACATAAAGGCCACACTAATGGAGGTCTATCATCTCATCAATAAGGATCCGGTCCTGAGTCAGACTTTACTCCGTGTCCCTGATCTACTGACACCAGTTGTTAAAGAGACCACAGACACTGGTCAGGACTCTGGAACATTACCTCTGGTTCCCTCTGAGATCCGTCCTGCTGTGGTAGTCAACGGGATTGACCAACCTGTGTTTCCTCCCACCACCTGTAAGAACGTCCTGGTCCAGGAAATTCTACCCGTTTCAGACCTGCCAGAAATCAGTCCAAAATCTGGAGATTTAATAAAAGTCAGTGTTGAGGAGTTAGATGGGACGAAGCAGCCTCAGCACGAACCTTCACCTGGTCCTTCACCTAGTCCTTCACATCAACCTTCACCTCGTCCTTCACACGAACCTTCACACGAACCTTCACCTGGTCCTTCACATCAACCTTCACACGAATCTTCACCTGGTCCTTCACATGAATCTTCAAATGAACTTTCACCTGGTTCTTCACATGAATCTTCACCTGGTCCTTCACATCAACCTTCACATGAACTTTCACCTGGTCCTTCACATGAACCTTCAAATGAACTTTCACCTGGTTCTTCACATGAACCTTCACCTGGTCCTTCACATCAACCTTCACCTGGTCCTTCTCATGAACTTTCACAAGTTAAAAAAGAGGATGAAATTCAAACGTTTACTCCAGAAATTATATCTAATGACAAAGCCAATTCCGATCTGGATCTCCACGAGGTGGAAGAACCTGGTAGAAAGACAGTTCCTCTGACGATGGAGCTGAAGCTTTCACCTCCGAGTGTCTCCAGTTCAGATCTGCAGCAGAATCAGAATCCTTCTCAGCCAGACAGCATCAGTCTGGTGGAGCTGTCCGTCGGTCCGACTCCTGAGGCCAGTCCACTGTTGAAAAAAAGAAACTGTGTTTCACCTCTTCCCTCTGCTACTCCTCAAGAGCTAGCCTCCGGCGCTCGTCGCAAAATCCTAACCTGTAAGACCAAAAGTGAGGACGTCACAGAGGCACCAGCTCCTGTTGAAAACCAGGATCAGAAAAAAGAGCTTCCTGTCCAGAGCAGCAGGCTCTCCGTCAGTCCTAACGTGACTCCCTCAACGTCGCCCAGTCTGGCTCGGAGGTCGGCTCTGCTGCAGCCTCCTGCAGGCAGAGCTTCTCCAGTTGAAAAGCGCTCTCCTCTTCTGAACAGGAGGAAGACGACGCTGGAGACGCCAAACCAGGAGTCCACCGAGAAGACGCTCAACCTGCAAACTGAAGAAAAGCCTCCGGAGAAGACCAGAAATGACCCATTCAAAGGTAAACTGTCCAATCACTGTGTCGTAGGGATTCCACTGTCTGTTCACACACTGCTGAGAGACCACATTATTACTCACAGGTAAAAACTGGTTTGAAACATAAATATGCACCAGCTTCTATCAGTCTTTCCGTTTCATCAAGATACAGGAAAGAACTTTGTGTTTTTATCAGTTTATTTGTCACATTTAGGAATGTTACGTCGTCTGGATTCATCTGAGATCATTGTGATTAATCTACCTGGGGTTAATCAGATTAAAAAATCATTAATTTGACAGTCATAAAAACTACAGTTACTGTATATATGAATAGTTTTATTATAGTTATTTTCCTGCTGTTTGTTATTGCTTTCAATTTGTATGACAGAAAATGAACTTTTTGCACCTTTTTTGATTTTCTTAAACATCATCTTTACGATACGTCACGTTATCTTTAACTCTTTGACTTTTTACCTGTGAACTGTGTTTCTCTCACGCAGCTCCTCAGGTTATTCGCAAAATCAGGGGTGAATCCTTCGGCGATGCCTCAGGACACCTGAAACTCTGGTGTCAGTTCTTCAATGTTCTGAGTGACTCCGTGATCAAATGGTACAAAAACGAAGAGGAAATCACTCGGGTCAAAAGAACGTGAGTGATTCATTCATCTGCTAAATAGAAGTTGAGATTTTAATTCAACATGTTTCTTTAAAATGATTTAAACGGTAACTGTCCCTCTCTCAGTGCAGGGGACGAGACACCCGTCAATCTGGCTGTTGTTCAAGCGTCGTCCAGAGACACTGGTGTTTACGGATGTGTCATCACCAACGAATACGGCACGGACGCCACAGACACCTTACTGAGTGCAGACAGTATGTACAGCCACGGCCAACAATCTTTTTGTTGAAATCATTATAATAAATAAATACATTTTTTTTTTGTTGTTTTTTTTTCCACGGCCAACAATCTTTTTGTTGAAGTCATTATAATAAATAAATACATTTGTTCTTTTGTTGTTTTTTTTTCTCCAAGTCTTGGCAGGAATGTCCCTGCGAGAGGACATTGGAGGTATGATGACGTTTCACTGAGTTTTGAGGCTGACAAAGTCGTAAAGCGACATAAGTAACGTCTCTTGTTTCCTGGTTTTTCACAGTTGGAGAAGAAATTGAAATGATGCCCCTAATGTTCAACAAAGGTGTTGCAGACTGTGGCGTGTGGGGCAACAAATTTTTTGGTCGTATCATGATTCAAGAATCACATATCGGCGATGGCTGCTCTCACAAAGTCTGGAGGGCAAAGGTCATTTATGGCCTGGAGCCCGTGTTTGAGTCTGGCCACACGTGTATTATCAAAGTTCGCAACCCCATCACGTACGGAGGCAAAGGAGAAGGTGGCCTCGTGGAAAGAAACCTGGACATCATCAAACAGGTAAAAAGACGACCGTAACTTTTCCCATTCATCATGGTTCAAATCTGCACCTTAACGACCAGAATTATAAATGATCTAATTTGTAAAACTACCAGACAGCGACTTCTTTTCTTTCTAGATTGTTCACACTACGTATTGGCAGCTGTGACTACGCTGTATCATTAGCCGCAGGACGTTATCTCCCAGAATTCCTTCTTAGTAAACTAATCCGCCCTAAATGATGAAAACATTTCTCCTCAAAAGCGTTCTACAGCTACAGGAAGGAGAGACGGTTTTCACATTTGTTTTTTTTTGCATTTGGATCAATATAGTAAAATAACGGTACAGAGACTGGGGTTGAAGCACGGAGACTCTCTCTGTTTATTATGTTGCCGTTTGAAACGGACACCTCAGCGCCCGCTGTCATCACGTTCTGCTGTGGAGTTTGGCGGCGACTGCAGGGTTTATTGGCCCGAGGCCTCGGGAGTCTCACGGCAGCTCTTTATGTCTGTTTCTCCTGCCAAGACACAGTATAGCCAGTGTGTCGTACAGTACAGTATGTTGGATTTGGCAGCCTCTAGTGGTGAAGGTACATGATGAATATCCTACACATTAGTATTATTATTATTATTATTATTATTACTCCCTAAGGAGAACATATAATAGCCTCCAGCCAAATGCAAATTTGAGCTCTGCAAATTCTGACTTGAGACCAAAAAGATATTAAGTCACCTGATTAATTTTACTACTGGTCTCTCAAGGGGGTTATTCATTTAAATGTAGTCTTATAACATTGTCATTATGGCTTAGTTATTAATTGAAAAAAAAAATGTTGACCAATAAACCAAACCAGTGCATTTTTATTTTTGTGGCTTGTCTTTTTCCTCTCCACAGGACTGTAGAGTTCAGAATCTGGCTCGTGAATATTGTAAAATATTCTCCGCCGAGGCGAGAGCTATAGAAAACTTTGGCCCCACCCTGGAGTGAGTGTGAATAATTTCAAGGACATAAATGATTCCCATTAAGTCGCCATAAGATAAGATGATCCTGATCACCTGATCGTTCCACAGCGTGCTGCCGGTTTACATGATCTACAGACCAGCCAACACCGTGCCCTACGCCACAGTGGAGGCAGACCTGGCAGGAGTCTATCAGAAATACTGTGACCTGGGTCAGGCTGGCAGGACACATGTGAGGACCGGCTCTGTGGTGGAGCAGAAATGTTGTGCCCTGCAGCACTGGATCTATCAGTGGACCAGTGGGAATCTGCTCCTCACTCGCCTCGAAGGTAATCTGACCCCTGATATCAAGGCAGTAACGAACCACGATTCTGTGTCGCCTAAAATGTGGAGTTTTAAAAAGTCATTTTTTAAAAACAAGGAGCGGCCTCCTTCATGTTACATCCTACATGAGAACAAGTGGTGAACGTTCTGCTGAGTTTCAGGGAACTGTTATTAATCCTCTCATCAAAAGTCTGTTGTACTTAAAATAACTGAAATGTAAGAAGAGTCAGTTTTTGCCAGTAGGTCGTTGACGTGAATCACCTCAGAAACCTGACAACAGATGCACACAGCGCTGAGAGGTGGTAAAAAAAAAAAAGATTCACTCATAAAAAACTGCTATAAAAATGAGCAGCGACTGAAACATAAGGATGTAGGTGTCGTTTTGTCACAAAATTACACACATACACTAGAGCACAAAACACCTCAACACCAAAACAGAACCCGATATATACTGAAATGGACGTTTGATTAAAAACAAATACAAACAAAAAAACCCAAAGATTTCAAATCTCTTCATTCTAACTGAAGTAGTTCTAGAAGGTTCTGGTTCGTTGCTGCCTTGGAAATAATCCAAATTTTCTTGAGTGTAAAGAGAAGTGTTGTGTGTTCTGTACTTAAGTGGATAAGACCTGGAGACTCAGCAGGTCTGTAAAAGGTCAGTCTTCAGGGTCAGAATTTATGATCGGTCACTTGAGACAAAACCTTCGTGTTTCCAAACAGTCACACTACTAAAATAAAAAAAAGACTGAATTTGAATTTATTTTGTTTTGCAGGCGTTGACACGAAGATAACAAATGTTGGGCTGTCAGTGAAAACCACAGGGTCAGTAACAACTGTGAATGTGCTGTTTTTGTTAACACACGGTAAACGTCAGATTTGAACGTCCGTGACTTCAGTGTTGATTTTGTTGTGTTTGACTGCAGGCATCACTGTGTGTCTGCTGAAGGGAACCCCAAGGTTTTTGAGCACTTTGTCTCCCAGCACCAGTGTAACTATTTCTGTGGTCTCCTTGGCCTGAGGTCTCTAAAGGTCACGGAATCTTTATTGACGCCATCGAAGCAAAAGGTTTCCAAGAGTCCATTACTTCAACGCAAGATGGCTGCTGGCTCCTCCAGCCCTCAGATGGGTCGGAAAGCTGCTGGCAGTCCCCGAGTGCCAAGAAAGTCTGACCCAGAAGGCAGCAGAACCCCTCCTAAAGAAAAGGCCTCTGAACAGACTTAAGATCCTATAACACAAACTAAAAAAAAAAAAAGATGAATTTAATTTAACTTCCATTCCTCGCCATCTTCAGTTATCGTGGTCTGATCCCTTTAGATGTATTCATTCACTGTGTTTTTCACTAGTTACAATAAAAATAATTGGCATTCTATAAACTAAATTACGCAAATCCATATTATATTTTTACGTTAGTATGGATGTTTTATTTAAGTATTATGTGATTCTTTAAATTAAATTGTTGGTTCAAGCTTGAAGAGTCTGAGGCCGATGTGTTTGTACATTTTGTTGAGTAGATTGATTTAAAGTAAATGGTAATGTTTTAAATTAAACCTGGAATGTAAGTAGTACAAGAAAAAAGTTTACAAAAAAAAAACACAGTGGAAATGGAATGAGTCTGCTTTTTAATCTTGTAATAAAAATGTTCTCATGCAGTTCATGGTCTCCTCCTATCACAGAGCACATCAACAGACACTGAGGCTAAAAGCAGAAATATTATTTAAGTTCCTCAGTTATCAGCTTGACAAGAAAAAAAAATCATGTCACACTGTTTGTAGATCAGTAGATACGTAGACTGAGTAACGACTTCTGCTGCGTTGCTTCACGTTTGCACCTTCTACAGAAACTGTGAATGTCATTTCCTTTTCAAACTGTAAAAACACAACTTGAAGTTTTTAACATGTTCAGAGTTCAGCCCGTCTTCTTGGCTTCTTTGCTGTTGTTTTCTGAACCGTGCTGGTTGATCATTTTAAATATACGTAGAGCTGTGATGGACGTGGGTCATTTAATGAACAGATGATTGTGGAATTAGCTTGAAGTCCACTGTGAAAGTAAGACTGAACAGATTCATCACATTCTGTGTTTTACTCAACATCGATGTTTTATATTAGGGAAAAGAAAGAGGTCATAAAACTCATCAGTCGTCCTTCTGAAGGTCAGAGAAACAAGTGCACCAGATTTAGAAGGCTATTAAATATGGCTAATAAAAAAAGGCTAAAATAAATCAAGGCTTAAGGCCGTTAAATATTCTGTGACATGGACAACAGCACCAACACTGGGGGCAATACTGCTGTGTGTGTGTGTGTGTGTGTGTGTGTGTGTAGATGACTACAGCTGCATCAGGATGATCGTTTTTGAATGCTGCTCATTAGTGAGTCATGTGTTATGTAAAAGTTGTTGTCCAATCCTCGTGTGTCAACAGTTCAAGTCACGATCAACGACACGATTCATTTATCACTTCCATCAGTCGACTGTGATCGTGGCAGGAAGGATTTCTGATCTGTGTTCTGAGGAAACAGGAATGAGACACTACTCCCACCTACTGACGAAACTTTGAACCATCAATAATGGCATCTGTCAATACAGCAAACATTATTTTTACATTTATCATCAAATGATTTTAATATTTATTCTTTTGATCAGTGTAGCGTGGTATTCACTTTGTCATAATTATAACACGCCGGTCTTTCAGGAGACCAAAACCAGTTCATAACATCCAGGAGTGGATATTCTGTAATTCCGATGATTCCCCTGAGACATTTAAATGGAACTGGTGAGTGAATCAGGGAAATGACAGAGAAAAGATGCAGTGACACAGCTCTTCATGCTGCACTGAGTATCTGTGTAATAATGAGCAGCGGGTAAATTCCACATTAATACTCATGATAAGACTGCAGACATTTTGCATGTACATTTTCACACATCACATCATGTCACTTATTAGGACCATGTTGAGCTAATGTGAATGTGAATGAGTCTCTAATATTGGAGCTGGAGGACATGAACCACATTAGCAGTTTGACGTTGGGAGTCAGAGTCAATACGCAGCAATGTTTGAGAGAAACATCAGGCGTGTTTGTTGTAGATTCAAACATCAGCCGTGCAGGGGAAGGATATAAAATGAATGTTTAGTCAGTGAGTATTTTATTGAATCTATGGAGCAAAAGATTTAGGAAAAATGAAACAGTGACTCAAACGGACAGATCTAAAAACAACACTGTCTGTGATCCTGTGATTCTGGTGGTGATTATTGAAAATCACACATTTGAAATGTTCCATTACATAAAAACAACCTCTTCCAGTGAACAGCATTGTTAAGAATGAGTACCATCCATCATCATCATCATCATCATCATCATCATCATCATCATCATCATCATCATCATCATCATCATCATCATCACAGTGGCTGCTGCACTGCTGTAACACTGGTCATTTCAGTCTGACCATTACAAGAGGTGGAAATAAAACTGGTCATTTCAGTCATTCTGACCATTACAGGAGGTGGAAATAAAAGTGTTGAAGCCGAACAGATAAACAACATTTAAAAACACAATCTTTTTGTCTGTTCTTCAGAGATCAACACATAAATCTGTTTTTTCTTTCATGCAGATTGCGACTGTGTGAACATACGTATCCATAAATATAACGATGAGTGATATTCTAGTCTCAAAGGAACAAGAGAGAAAAAACAAATCATGTTAGAGATAATGTATGAAAACCAAACTATAACAGATAACTGGATTCTGCAGTGTGTGAGAACTGGACAGCTGCTGTTGTAACACAGGCCTGTGTAACACATGTGTATTTACCCAGGGCCGTATCAGAGAAAGAAAATTAAAAGAAAGAAATATCAAATTTGACCATCAAAGATGTCTCTATAGTTCTAAAAAATATTGGCGTTTGCATGAATTGTTTAAACTTGTTTAGTAGTTGATCTACTGTAGCTACTGTAGTCTGAGTCTGCACGGGGTACAGCATGTAAATTACCAGGTCTGAAATCGTCCCACGAGCCTCAGATTGTAAAACATCTGTACTAACCACTGAGGTACAGCAACTCTTTGTTTACCAAAATAAAAAACCCTTCAGATTTGTCAGTTGTTTACATGTTTGTTGGATTATCACGGGAGAGAACGATTGTTTGTCTGAATTTCTGGCCTGTTCTGTGTTGCACTGTGTCCTGTTGACAGCTGTGATCTATTCCAGCCGATGGTGTGGATGTTATGACGATTGGTAAAAGAAAAAGAAAAAGAAAAAAAATCCACACAGAAACATTCGACCATCTTCAAAAACAACAACAATAAAAAACTAAATACAAAAAAAATCCGATAAGTCCGTGAGAATTGCAATTGATGATGAACAAACAATGTAATTTTGAAAAAAAAAAACCCAAAAAACTCTCCGTTGAGTGACGTTCTTTGTACAATCCTGAAGCGACACCTCAGCGCTCTCGTCTCTGCTCTCTCAGTGTGGGCGGGACTTCCGGTTGAGCGCACCCGGAAAGATTCGGATGGTGATCGTGCATCCATCCATATGCTCGTTACTTTGAACGTTTTCATGTGATTTTGGGCGACTTTTCTACTCCGTATTTTTCACCATGCTCTCGTTAGACTTCCTCGACGATGTTCGTCGCATGAATAAGCGGCAGGTAAGTTTGTGGACCGATCTCTCGCTGAAAACCACTGCATTGGTCACAAAGCTCACAGCTAACGGGAAGTAGCCACCGAGCGCTGTTTAAACGCTGCACAATCTGTATGCAACGGTGGCGAGCGACTAATCAAACACTGTAAACGTTCGGGTCGGATTTTTACTGCGATAACATGGACAAATGCAGCTTTAATAACCTGATTTTTCGTCATTTTAATGACATTGTGGTGTGAGCTAAGTTCTAATGCCAGATGTGCACATTATTCCAGTCTGTCTCGTATGTAACACACACACACACACACACATATCAAGCTGTTTCTATGCTCGTACAGAACAGATAATATTTTTCTAACATCAGTTCAAACCTGTCCGTTTGTCTTGCAGCTATATTACCAGTTGTTGAACTTTGGTATGATAGTTTCCTCAGCTCTGATGATCTGGAAAGGACTGATGGTCGTCACTGGCAGTGAGAGTCCTATTGTTGTTGTTCTCAGGTAACTTTGTGTTATTTTGTGTGTATTATTTACCTATTTATGTACATTATTTTGATGCATACTCTCATTAAACTCCATGAACAGCTAATGATTGTCATATATTTCCAGGGAGGATCGTCTCAGATGTGACACACATGTACTGTACTGTATTTTAAACTTGAGTGTTTATCAAAAGTATTGTTACCGTTTTTGTATTGTTGCATTTCTTGTCTACACATTTGTCATGAAGTAACATTTGACGTCTGACGTCACTTTTGGTATTTTAAAAAACAAAGCAGTTTGATTTTTAATTTACCTATGGTTGCTGTTTAGTGGAGAGAACCATTTATATACAGAAGCATTTTAGAAAAACTGGAAAAACAAGTTAAATTTAGAATCAGATGCCAATCAGATAGTTACTTTTTAAAATGTAGAAGTTTTCTCCCGTTGGTAAAAGTTTTTATAAAGTCTGATTCTGTTGTCTTGGTTGTTGACTATCTTCCACTCTTTTTTTGCTTCTCTTTCTGCTTCTTGTTTTCAATAATACCAGGAACTTATTTTGCACGATGCATTTAGTAATTGTATTACCTGACAGGATTAGGCCTTAAATTAGACAGTAATGTGTTTAAAACACTAAGCAATACTAAGTTGTTTCTTGCATTTATTTCCAGTGGTAGTATGGAGCCAGCATTCCACAGAGGAGATCTGCTGTTTCTGACCAATCGAGTTGAAGATCCCATCAGAGTCGGAGAGATAGTCGTCTTCAGGATAGAAGGCAGAGAGATTCCAATCGTACATAGAGTTCTCAAGATCCATGAAAAGTACGAGCCCTTGTTTTGTTATTCTAAAGTCTAAAGTTTCAGTTTCAAATATCCATTCAAACTTTATATACTGTATAGAGTAAATGTAAAACAGTCCAAAGAACCGTTTGTCATTTGGAATGATCAGAAATATTATACAATGGGTCGAGAGTCATTCAGATCATTTGTTTACAGGGAAAATGGAGACATTAAGTTTCTGACCAAAGGAGACAACAACGCCGTTGACGACAGAGGGCTGTACAAGCAGGGTCAACACTGGCTGGAGAAGAAGGATGTAGTAGGACGGGCTCGAGGGTAAGTTACCTTACTGTGTATTTGATCTCACCAGGTAACGTCACAGTTAGGACCACACTTACATGCACTTTATTCAGAGGCGTCTTTAAAGTGTTCACGCTGCAGAAATGGCTGTAATTAAATGTTGGGGTTTTTTTGTAAGGACACATTTGACAAGGTCACCTTCAAAAAAACTGCAGTTTAATTTCCACCGTCTTCACTGATGAAAGTATTACGGTTGGTTTATGTTTCACTAGGTAATTTAAAATGAAGGAGCTCATCGTCTTAGTCTGTACTTGTCCCTCTGTCTGAGAAGGACATGGAGGACACGGAGGACAATGAGCACTTAGCTTTAAGGATGTTACGCCAAAGATTCAAAGTACTTTGTTTGAGAGAAATGTAGAATACTTTTGGAGTGATTGTATTTTAACTCATGTAAGTGCTCGATGTTTTTAACTAGCATTTGTTTCTAGTTAAAAATTCAAGCAAAGAGCTTCATCATACAACACCACAGTGTTGAGGTTTGAAATGTCCTTAAATGTTTTTAATCCTGATCACAACAACAACAGCAGGGATTACAGACCAGGCTGTTGTGGTCATGTCATGTCTTGCTGCAGCTGCTGCCGTCGTATCCCATCAGTTACACTCTGAATATCTGTCACCCTCAGGTTTGTGCCATACATTGGGATTGTGACCATTCTCATGAACGACTACCCCAAGTTCAAAGTGAGTGTTTAACTCTTCACTGCTGCTCAGAGTCGTTTGTCTGTTTGAGTTCACGTTGGGATTTCTCACCTCCGCTGTGTGTGTGTGTCCACAGTATGCTGTTCTCATCTTGTTGGGTCTCTTCGTGTTAGTCCACCGAGAGTGAGGCCCCCTGACCTTCAAGGACTCAAGGATATGGAACATCCTGAAACCTCAGTTTCAAAACTTTCAGAAACAGAATTTAGTTAAACTTTTGTCATATCCAACAAGCTTTTTTGTACCATTTGTTTGGACATTTTGTAAAAATGTGGATAGGGTGTTTACATTGAAAAAATAAATAAAAAATTCAAGCTTTAAAATATTTTTGTGACAAACAGAGTTAAGATTTAGTTAGAGGTCACAGAAAATGTAAAAAAAAATGCATTCTTAAAAATAAGTTAAGTCTTGTTTTTTTTTCTTTCTGTTGATCCATTGTGTTTAGAAACGTATGTGAAGTATTTTATGAGAACTGAATTTGAATGGTATTAAATATGATAACTGGTTGCCATCCACCATGACTTCTTTTCTTTTCTTGTCTCTGTTTCTCCTGTTCAATGATGCAGTAAATATGGAACATGTTGCTAAAATATGGAAATGTTTTTGTTTTTTATATAAAATATTTTGTGTCAAATAATTTAGTGACAGAAATGATTTTGTTGTATTTCTGAATACCTTTGTTGCATGAATATATAGTTCAGTATGAGATTCTTATTGTGAATTGACATCATTCAACAAGTATATTTAAACTGTTCCTTTATTTATTAGACTGTATTGTAGAAGACATTATTATCTATGAAAGTGAAGGTAAATACAGAAGCTGAAATCAATCTGACTCTAATGGATGGTGCACAAAAGAGCTGACGTAGAAGGTGCAGGTGTGAGAGTCAGACTTTAATATCACTGCTTTGAGGATTGTTTGTAGAGCCAATTATTTTGTTACGTTTACTCAAAAAAGAAATTAAAAAACAACCCTCATCCATGTGAGTAGATCTGGGCTCAGGCTGTTTTTGGTTCTGTTATTGTCTGGGGGCATTAACCTCGTCACCGCCCTGTGTTTACGTGGTCTGAACCCACTTGAATGTTCCTGCAATCAGGGTGTATTCTACTGAAGCTGTTCAACAACTGCATGTAACCACACATTAGAGTAATCGTGAACCCATCGCAGTTCTCCACCTTCGACCAGCATTGATTGATTGTGCTGGGCCACCATTTTATTAGACCTCAAAGACCTGAGCTTTTCTTTAACCAACAAACTGTTAATCACAGAGCACTTAACGGATCAATTCCCAAACCTGGATGGGCTGTAGCTCATCATACTGACATGTATGCAGATTGTTTCATTGATGTGGTTTTGACAGTACGGTACACGCTGCAGCTGCCACTGAGCCACTGTGTCCTCTGCTCTCTGCTCCTTAGATTAGCAGTGAGAACCAGCAGGTTCTTGTCCTTTGAGGACTGATGGTGATCACAGCAGCAAGCTGCAACTGGCCAAATGTCACCCTGCTCATTGTGAGGGGCCGGTATCTCTGGGCAGGAAGGGGGAGGAGGTGCGGGGGGGTAAACGTCTGAGTGTGTTTCACTGACAGGGGAAATCCCTATTATTATTTTAGTATTTGTATTATTATTGTTATAAATAAACCTCCGTTTCTATTATAAATGAATAAAGTTTAATTATCTGAACATTTTCTAAAATTATCTTATTTTAACTTTGAAACTAATTTTCTAAGCATACAGGTTTTTATGAACGTTTTGTTTAGATATATATATATGTATCTATATATATATATATATGTATATATATACATATATATATATATCCCTATATCCATAAATAAGAATTGTGTAATTATAAGCCCGGTAAAAGCCAACACAAACTAATGGTGTGAGTTTATATTGAATATTGAGAATGGAGTGTAATGTGGGAAGAAACGGGACATATAGGTGAATAAAAGTTACTCTTCATGTAATATTAAAAGCACAGATTAATGTTTAAATAGTCAATCGTCAAGACAACTTGTCTTCTACATGCGTTCCATGACAAATACTTCTGTGCGTAAAAGACGCAGTGTCAGGGAGGCTGATCTCAGTTCAGATCAATGGCTGATTTGTATTCACAGTGTAGATAAATGACGGGAGTCCTCCCTCCCTCTCTCCCTCCCTCTCTCCCTCCCCGGTCAGAAAAAGCCTATATAACGACAATGAGGGAGGGAGCAGCTGAAGACCGGCAGCAGACACTCGGAGGTTCGATTCCCGGGGGACAGTACACTGGGCACTAACATGGCTAACCTTCGCCAATGCGGCGTTTTCACTTCACTGCTGTTGATTTCTTTGCTTTCTTTGCACGATGCCGTCAGACTGGACTTGACCGAGTTAAGGAATAAAGTTGCCAAGATCAAAGTGAACCCGAGAGGCAGTCTGTGGGCCACAGGTGAGAACAACTTCAACAACAACAACAACTGCACCACATTCCACCACGGAGTGTGCGCTTATTGTGTGTTTCCTGTTTTGTTAGGTCACTTCATGGGGAAAAAGAGTCTGATGGATGAGCCTGCGGTGCCACTCAAGCAGAAAACGAAGCTGGTTGATCCTCTGGAAGACGATCTCCCCGAGGAGGAGCGCAGCGCTTTTCTCCAACAGTTGCGGGTGGCGTTGAGGGCGCGGTTGGACACACAGGACTGCCGCTCCAGTATTCAGGTGAGGGATTACAAGATTCTCCACCTTAAAACAAACAAACAAACAAACAAAAAAACATTAAAGTGAGGACATAGACATAGATCGTAACACTGTGTTTAACGTGAGGACATAGACATAGATCGTAACACTGTGTTGTTTCCTGACTGTTTCACAGGAGCTGGAGTTGTTGATGAAGATTCTAGAACGCTTCAAAGCAGACAGAGATGCAGAAGGTAAAAGTCTGGAACACATGGACACATGAGTGGACACATGAGTGG